TAAAAAGTAAATGATGCTGCATGCTGGAAAGTGATAGAAAAGGTAGTGAGAGAGCAGGGGGTTGGCACTGCTTTTTTTTTCTTCTTTTTTTGAGACGGAGTTTTGCTCTTGTTGCCCAGGCTGAAGTACAATGGCGCGGTCTCTGCCTCCCGGGCTCAAATGATTCTCCTGCCTCAGCCTCCCAAGTAGCTGGGATTACAGGTGCCTGTCACCATGCCTGGCTAATTGTTGTATTTTTAGAAGAGACAGGGTTTTACTATGTTGGCCAGGCTGGTCGTGAACTCCTGACCTAAAGTGATTCACCCACCATGGCCTCCCAAAGTGCTGGGATTACAGGCTTGAGTCACCGTGCCTGGCCTGGGACTTGCTATTTAACATAGGTGGGTTGGGAAGGCCTCTCTCATAAGACGACACATGAGCAGCAATGAGGGAGTGAGCCAGAGGGACATCTGAGGGAGGAGCATTCCAGGCTGAGGGAACAGCCAGTGCAAAGGCCCTGAGGTTGGAGTGTGCCTGACATTTCAGAGAAACAAGACTCATGTGGTTGGTGCAGAGAGGGAATAAGGGGAGATAGGCAGACAAGGTCACAGAGGGAACAAGAGCCATATCCTGCAGGTCCCTGCACCACGGTGAGGACTCAAGCTTCCACTCTGTCAGGGATGGCACCATGGGAGGATTCTGAGCCTGGGAGGAATGGGCTCTGATGTAGGTGTTCACAGATTCCCCTGGGAGGAAGAGGCTAAAGGGGTAGAAGAGGGTGGGAAGCCCAGTGAGGAAGCCCCTGCGTCCGTATTGAAGAGGAGAGTGGCTGGAACAAGGTCGGGATAGCAGAGCAGGGAGAAGTGGTGAGATTCTGGATATATTCTGAAGGGACAACCAGCAGCATTTGTTGACAGATTGGACACTGGGTGAGAGAGAAAGTGACTGAGCAACGGAACGGGTAGAGTTAGCTGTTTCCTGGCATGGCAAAGACTAGGCGGTTTGGGGATTGGGGTACCTCAGCAGTTAGGTTTTATATGTGTTAGATTTGAGATGGTTCTTAGATATCCCGAGGGAAGATGTCACTCAATGAGTGGATACAGCTCCCGAGAAAGAGAGAGAGAGAGAACAGCAAATAATAGTAATATATTAATATTAGAATAGGCCGGGCATGGTGGCTCATGCCTGTAATCCCAGCACTTTGGGAGGTTGAGGCAGGCGGATCATGAGGTCAGGAGATTGAGAGCATCCTGGCTAACACGGTGAAACCCCATCTCTACTAAAAATACAAAAACATTAGCCGGGCGAGGTGGCGGGCGCCTGTAGTCCCAGCTACTCAGGAGGCTGAGGCAGGAGAATGGCATGAACCGGGGAGGCAGAGCTTGCAGTGAGCCGAGATCGTGCCACTGCACTCCAGCCTGGGCGACAGAGCAAGACTCTGCCTCAAAAA